GTCGCCCCGCCCGCCCCGCGGCGGTTAGGGACCTGGGCTGTCGGTGCGGGGAGGCCAGCGGCGCCCCGAGGACGTCTGCCCTCGCCGGGCCGCAAGTCCCCAGCGGCGCGGTGGCCTGGCCTCCAGCCTGGGCCAATACGGAGGCAATAATAGTAACTGCAAGCAATGCCTGCTCGGTGCGTGCCAAGCTCTGCGTGCGCGCACTCTGCGTGTTCGCAACGGCCCCACAGGAGTCATTATCCCCCCCACGGGGACAGGATCAGAGAGGTTAAGTAATGACCGAAGCGACCCGGCTACACCTCCATAAACGGGAATAATGCGACTGTTAGGCTTACTGTGGAGGTTAACTGAGGACATTTACACACAGTGCCAGCAGTGCCTGGCACACAGTTGGAGCCCAGTAAAGGTTACTTTCTCTTCCTAAACCACTGCTTTAAACGGAATGGTCCTGGCGAAGTGCATTCATTCAGTAGATATGCTAGGAGCTGTGGGGGATACAAAAGCCATATGTGAGTCACAAGCTCACTCCCCACTTCCAGCTTTGTGCTGAGTAGACAACACGAATCTCTCCATGATTGCTTGCTCACTATTCCCAACATTTTCCCATTGTCTTGACTTATTTATTTATTTGCATTCATATTCTCTCTCTTTTCCCATTAGGTCTCCCTCATCCCTTTGTCTTTGTTTCCACGTTTTACATTTATTTTATGTTTCTTGATTGTTTACTTCACCCCCTTTCTCTTTTCCCCATTCCCTTTCCCTTCTAGTATTTTTCAAATTTCCAAAGCCTTTTTTCATTAATATTCACATTTCTGCCTTTACATTTCTTAGACATATATTTTGTTTTATGAAAGAAGGTAACATAGGATCAAATGCAGCTTCTCTCTATTCTCCAAACATGCCCACATCTTCCTGACTCCCTACCTCTACTTCCACGACTCCCTCCTGGAATGCCCTTTCCCCAACTCTGCATGTCCAGGTCCTACCTATCCTTCAAGGTCAAGACTCAAGAGCTGGCCAACAAACTTCTGTAAGGGACCGGATAGTAAATATTTTAGACTTTACAGAACATACGGTTTCTGTGGCAACTACTCAGCTCTGCTGTTGTAGCAGGAAAGCAACCATAGATAATATGTCCATGAATACAGGTGGCTGGGCTCCAATAAAACTTTATTTATGAACCCTGAAATTTGGATTTTTCATAATTTTCATGTATCATGAAGACTATTCTTTTTATTCTTAAACATCTTAAAATGTAAAAACCATCAATAACTTCTGGGCTGTACAAAAAAATAGTGATGTGCTGTGTCTCAGTGGCTCAGTTGGTTGACCATCGTCCTGTGCACCCAAAGGTTGCTGTTTCGATTCCCAGGAACATACTCAGGTTGTGGGTTCAATCCCTGCTCAGAGCATGTACAGAAAGCAACCAACTGATGTTTCTCTCTCACATTGATGTTTCTCTCTCTCTCTCTCTCTCTCTCTCTCTCTCTCTCCCTCTCTCTAACCCCCCTTCCACTCTCTCTAATCAATGGGAAAATATCTTTGGGAAAGGATTAAACACACACACACACACACACACACACAACCAAAACAAATAATAATAATAAAAAAAACAAGCTGGTGATGTGATGGATGTGGGCCTTGGGATACAGTTTGCTAACCCCTGCTCTAGAACAATGCCATTTCTCTGCAGTCTATCCTGATAATTTGTACTCAATAGTAACTCTTCCCTCTTCTAGCACTTGCCTATAATCCTTCTATAGCATTTATCACATTTTAGTTTTTATATGTCCCCCCTCCCCTGTGCATTTATCATCTTTCCCAGCAGAACTGAAGCTCCTTGAAGGTAGGGTACAAATCTTTTTACTCTATGTATTACCTCCCATCCCACAGTGCTTTGCACAGAGCAAGCATTCAGATACACAGAGGATGGTTATACAGTTAAGTGCTCGGTGGCTGACCATTGTTTCCACTGTGCAAAGCTTACTTCTCTCCTTAGATAGTCCTTTTGGGGCAGGATGCCTGTTATGTGTATATCATCTTGATTAGATTACAGAAAGAGATTTTTTGAGGGCTTTGTAGACAAGGTAGAGAAAGGTAGGCAAATGTCAGTTCATTTAGGGGTTATTGGGTAACAAATACTTGAACAAAGAATGCTGATTATCACCAACCTGTAGACAGGGCATGTGTCCTCATTTGGGTCCTATTCAACATTTCTATCAGCAAATTGGTTAAAGACAAAGAAAACGTGCTATATAATTGATAGATGGCAAAGTTAGCAGAGGCATTATATAATGAATAACAAAATTCAGATATGAAACATTTCTGCCCCACCACATATTCTTTCTGTGCCTCGGTTTTCTTATCTTTAAAATGGGGATGATAGAAGTTTCTGCTTCAGAGGGTTACTGTCAGGATTAAATGAGGAAATACATGTAAACTCTGACAGAGAGGGCCCAGTAAATGTTAGCTATTAACTATTACCATTTTCTTACTAGGCTGGAACTCTGGGCTAAATTCACAAGATATTTAACACATGTCATTAACTAGACATTGGCACAAAATATAAATTGTATGTGTTTGGGACTGGGGAGACCTGGAGTGAGAGCAGTCCATGTAAAAAGAAACCTCAAAAACAAAAGCAGACACAAAAGCTGACCCAACCCTCAGGAATTCAGGTGACACAATGCTCTGTGGCCCAACAGTGTCATCCCCCTGGGTTGGAGCAGTTGATGTGGGGCCCTGGGTGCAATTTCCTGATGAAGGAAGGTGACACGAGCCAGAGTCAATCGTGCTTTCATAGCTGTGTGACCTGAAGCCTCTTCAAGCTTTTTGTTTTCTCCTCGAAATACTGGGGCCATAACATTTCTTTCTCGGCCTTATTATCATGGGTAAAGGAAAACTTAGAACAGTACTTGACACATAGTAGGTGTTCAATAAATTTCAGTTCCTCCCTACCATACCATGCAGATCTGGAAAACAGTCCTGCCTGCCCCTTGAAGGGCTAATACAGCGATCCAAGTCCCAACTTACTGTGACTTGTGGCTTTTTATATTTGGAATTAAGGTGCTTAATTTTGTGGATCACACTTGAAGGGAATTAATGAAAAGGTGGAAAGTGCCTAGACAAGAATAACCAGAACAGCGGGAATAGGGAATGGGAGGTTTTGACGTGTAATAGGTAAAAAAAAAAAAAAGTCTCAGCCTTTAGACTGGATATTCATTCTCATTCTCTCTCTCTCTCTCTCTCTCTCTCTCTTTCTCTCCTGCATCGCAACAGCACTTTCAAAAATATTCCTCCAAAGGTGAGAAACCACTTTTTTTTTAATCCTCACCCAATGATATATTTTTCCCATTGCTTTTCAGAGAGAGTGGAAAAGAAGGAGGGAGGGGAAAGACAGAGGAGAGAGAAAGAAGCATTGATGTGAGAGAGACATATGGATTGGTTGCCGCATGCACCCTGACCAGGGTCTTGCCCTTGACTGGGAATTGAACCCATGACCCTTTGGTGCTCGGACTGACACTTTAACCAGTGAGCAACACCAGCCAGGGCTGACTGGGAGGGAGAGGAAAGAGACATGATAACTGTCTACAACCACAGTAGGAGATGGACTCTGTTATAATTCACAAGACAATCACATCCAGTGGTAGAAGTTCCAGGGGAGCAGTTTTGGACTTAATTTGAAGAGTCACTTTCTGATCATTAGAGCAATTCCACAATGGAACAGCTGCTTTTCAAAACGATGAATCTTGCAAGTGCCAAGAGAACAATGAACTCCTTCCTGTCTTTTACTTTTTCTAATGTTCTTTCTCCATATTCCTTTGCTTTCCTTTTCCTTGATCCTGTCTTCCATTCATTATGGGACATTTATTACACCCACCCTTTGTCCTCAAGTACTATTCCTCTCATTTCTCCTTCAGTTTCCAAACTTTCTGTTGGCTCTCCCCACCCCCACCCCAACACACAGTCCAATGACTGGAACTGCCTCCCTGAGTTGTAGGCAGCAAATGGCTCAGAATGTCACTGAAATCTGGGCCAAGGTTGCTGTGCACACTGGCAGGGAGGGAAGGAAAGCAAATGGATTGCTCCAAAGGTAGAACTACTGCTGTGACTCTCCCGCCAGGGTAGAGGGATCCAGCGGAATCTCCTGAAACCTAGGCCACGGGAAAGCCCACTTGTCGCGGGGCACTCACAGGCAGACAGAGGGGGTCCCAGCCGAGCACTGTACCTTCAAAATGCTCTCCACAAGCTGAACTCATTCTGAATCCCTTTCCAGCTCCCCCTAGGCATTTATTTCCCTTATCTAGGAGCTACACAGCCACCTTGTCATATTTCCAATGTCAAGAACTCCTCTCCTACCAATGAAGCAGAGAACGGAGACAACTGGATACCTGCTGAGCTCCCCAGTTAGCATATGGATGTGTAGACACATTTGACAGCAATGACATGTAGGCCTGAGTCTGCATCTAGGATTCTCAGCTCTCCTTTCTCTAGCCTTTTATCTTATACCTTCTGGGCCCCCTTTTCTTTATCCTTGGTTCATCTTCTCTTCCCTCCATCTTCACCTATCCAGCTTCCTCGTTGCCTCTTTGGCTTACAATAGTTTCCCCTTCCATTCTAGTTGCCCAACTATAATGTGCCAGGGGATAGCAAGGAAGGCCAGCTCTCTCCCCTCCCATTCTAGTTGCCCAACTCTAATGTGCCAGGGGATGGCAAGGAAGGCCAGCTCTCTCCCCTCCCCCAAGGGCCCCACCTCACTTCATACCGTGAGCTGGGATCTGCTGGATATTAGGGCTCTTGGGTACAGGCAGACCGCTGGGCATGGCAGTGACAATGGCTTGCTGATGCAGTGATGGGCGGGACCGAGCCTCAGGCACACTCTTCTCCCCAGGTACCACTTCCTTCCAGTCCTCTGGGGTGCACTGCTGGGGCTGTTAAGACACAGGACAGGGATGATCTTGTCATGAACTGCCTTTACATTCTGGACACTTCCCTGCTTCCGTGGAGCTTGGGCAGAAGACAAGGACATTAAGATTTAGCCAGCCCCACAGTAGAGAGAGGCCCTTTTCTGGAATATCCAGAGGTCTTCACCACTCACCCCACCTAGAAACACGTCCCAGTAGGGCTGAGGCCCCCGTTTGTTCCCCGCCCCTGGGATCCTCTCACTCACCACTGGTGACGCAGGCTGTAGTTGCAGGATGACAGCGGAGGCGTGCTGGAACCTGCGTTGAGGGGTGTGGGACAGGCCCTCAGGGTACCCATTGTGAGGCCCAGCATCTGGTGTGGGAGGGTGGCAATGCTGAGTGCTGCCAGGCTTGTATAGGTTGGCAGTGGGACACTGGAGAGGCAGGGTGGATGTAACTGGGCCTAGAGGCATGGCATGGGATTCGGGACTGGGCTGCAGGGCCAAGCTCGGAGGGATGGAGGCGAGCTGGGGGTGGGACTGGGCTTGGAGTGCAGGTCGTGCTTGCTGGGGCTGCTGCTGCTGCGCTGGCTGCTGCTGCTGCTGCTGGATCACAAACTGGGGCTGCAGGTGCTTTGAAGGTGGCTGGGAGAGGAGCTGGTGTGGCTGCAGTTGAGCATAGGCTGAAGGGGGAAAACCAGGGAGGGGGCGTGGCTTGACCTTGTCCTCTGCAAGCCCCCCAAATGGACCCCCTCCCATGCCCACATAAAGGAGGCTTCTCAAACTCAGTGTGGATTGCTTTCACCTAGAGCCTAGAGCCTGACTTGGTCATGGCCCGGTTTTTTCTCTCTGTTTTCTTGCTTTCCTCCTATGCTGCGACACTGGACCTGTGGCTGTCCCTCAAAGCCCAATGCAAAACTCACCTCCTCTGTGAAGCCTTCCTTGACACTCCAGCGGGATTCTCTAGGGTGCCATGTTCTCTCTCTTCTCCAGGCCCTTCGCTTGCTTTTTTCCATGCTTTCAATACGTGCAGCCTCCCAATGCCCAACCCAGCTCTATCTGGCTCGTTCTTATTCACCCTCTGCTCAGCCCAGGCTGGCCTCCTCCAGGAAGCACCAGTTGCACACAGTGGTCCTCAGACTGTGGCAGGAGGCAGACCGGGGCCGGGCTACCAGGACCTTCTGTTGCATACTATGGGACCTCGAGCTATGTGCACAACCTCTCTAGGCCTCAGCTTCCTTGTCTAAAAATTAGAAGTAAAGATAGTTCCTACCCAGAAAGTTGTAAGGATGAAATAAGAAACAAACAAAACTGTGCAAATAAAATGAGAGAAAATGACCTGATGTGCACAGCCCAGTGTCTGGCACCCAGTCCTGTTCAAGCTTTTCTAGCTATAATTAAAATCATTATTTCAGGCCTGGCTTGGATTCTCAAAGTATCTTGGGATTACCTCTATCAGAATCAGCAGTATTACAGTGAGCTACAACTGTTCTTAGCTCTCTTTCCTTCCAGATCATAAACCCCGTGGCATCAAAACTGTCAGGTATCTCTTTATCTAGAACCTCATGCCTGACACTAAATGGGTGCTAAGTAAGGAAATTTATTGTCATTTTTGCCATTCGCTGCTGGCCTTCTCTCCCTGCATTTTAACCAGGCTGACCTTTTGAGGTGAGGATTTTTAGTATTCCCTTCCGGGTCTACCTCATGCCTTGTATATAGTAGCGTTTCAGGAAATTCAACTGAAACCCAGGTAGGAAACAAGAGGCATTAAGGAAAAACAAAGTGGTCCCTGGTGACGGACTGTTGCAGGCAGAAAGAGAGCGAATGTGGGTGGCCCACAGGCTATGGTGTGGATGTCAGTCAGTGATGAAAGAGGGAAATTCCAATGGTGATGAGGTTTTGAGAGGAATGTGCTGGGTTTGAGGTGATGGTGGAACGTCCAAATGAAAATTGCCAGCAGGCATTTGGTGATTATAAGTTGCCCCTGACCCTAACCGAAGCCTTGTCTCCTAATTCCACACTGAACAGCCAGGAACTTAACTTATATGAACTTAAACTTACAGAGTCACTTAACTCAAAACTTAACAACCAGGCAAAAAATGTTAATCAGGCAAACTTCCCGATCAGGAATGTCTAAGACAGCTGTTGATAGCACCTGAGTTACTAGAGATGCCACGCCAGTCCTGTCAGGCTCCAGCAGCCAAACAGACCTGCAGAATGATGCTTATTCTCACTGAAAACTCAAGTAAAACCTTTTCTCTCTTATTACAAAATCAGGAATTCCAGGCTTGGGAACAGAGTCACTCTGGGGCTGCCTATCTGAGGTGAGAGCCAGAGATGGTGCAGGTCAGAGGAGCTGAGAGGATCAGTGGCACATCCCACTGCTCGCTGGCTGTGTGGCCTGAGATGGGTCCCTTTCCTTCTCTGGGCTTCAGTTTTATCTGTGAAACATGAGGTTTGGGCTAGGTGATCATACAAGTCTCTTCCTGTTTTACAATTGTGAGTGGCTATCACAGGAAACTAGTTTAAAATTCAGGATTTGTAAGAAAAGGTTAAAGAGAAGAAAGGTTCTGGATCTACAGAACATAAATAGTATAGTTAGGGAATTAGGGACACTACATGTTTGTTTACCAAATTGGGAAAGGGGACTGCTGGCCTACTGGCCCTCCATCCCTGGGCCTCCAATCCTACCCTACCCGCTTCCTGACCCTGTGCTGCTAGTGGAAAACCCAAAGGCAATTGTTTTAGAACAAATGATGCTAGTGTATGCCAAGGCCGTAAACAGAGCTCATGGAAGCTTAGATAACCTCAGAGGGAAGGTAGGGGACAGTGGGGGTGAGGGGGAGAGATCAACCAAAGGACTTGTATGCGTGCATGTAAGCATAACCAATGGGCGCAGACAACAGGGGGTGAAGGTGAGGGCAGGATTAGGGGGATGGGGGGCGCAATGGGGGGATAAACACACATTTGTAATACCTTAATCAATAAAGGGGGGAAAAAAGACGCCAATGTATTTTGGGTGGAGTATACATCCTTCTGAGGTTAATGAAAAACAAATACCATGAATTAAACTGCAGCATTGTCCTGGGTCAAAAGTCCTTTTCTATTGAGTATTGCAATAATCTAATGGGTCTCTGTGACTTCAATTTCTTCTCCTATAGCCCACCTAACAGATGATTGCAAAGTACTCTTCCTGGTGCACAGATCTGATCCCTGATCAAAAGCCATCGGGGACACTCCTTTGTCTGCAGCCATCTAAAGCCCCTGACATTCAAGATCTTTTCACAACACAAACCAACCTTCAATTCTTATTTCTTTGCTCCAAGCTTACTGTCCCCGCTATGGAGTTTGTCTTGTCTCACGCTGTCTAAAGCGCCACAGACCAAATCCCGGTCACCCTTTCCCAGCCTTGCAGCTAGCAGGACTCTCCCCTTCCTCCCAGCTGTTTGGATGTCTCTGCTTTGCACTGTCCTAGGGACAGCGTGCCACTGACCAGCAGTGGGATGCTGGGAAGTCATCTGACCTCTCTGTACCTCTGTGTCCTCATCTTTAAAATGGGGGTCATGATAATACCTATCTCATAGTTATTTCTGTAAACAACCATCTTCTTTAGTAGGCAGAATTGATGGGATTTGTTTCCTCCAAAGCACCTTGCATTTAGCAGATGCTCAATCAGTATTACTGAATGAATGAATGAATGAATGAATGACAAACATGGGCTCCAACTTGTTTGTCCCACAAAACCAGAACATAGAACCAAGATGGCAGCATAGGTAAGCACCTGAACTCGCTGCCAAGCACAACCACATTAAAACTACAACTAAAAGATAAAACGAGTATCATCCAGAACCACGGGAAGGCTGGATGAGTGGAAATTCTACAACTAGAAGGAAAGAGAAAAGCGCATTTAGTGCGGTAGGAGGTGCAGAGGTGTGGAAGTATGGAGGTAGGGAGGCACTCGTGAAAGGGGCTGGCAGCTGGGTATGCTGTTGTCTTTTTCAATCGGGAGGGAGATACAAGTGCCTGACTGCTCTGAACTTCAATTCTGGGAGAGAATTTGGGGACCCAGACTCATACAGAGAGAAACTGTACTGTCTGGCATTGGCCCGGAACGTGAGGGAGGCTTTCTCACAGAGGTGCTTGCAGCGTTCATTGTCCCTGCACAGGGCCACGGGACACAGACCCCGGGACCTCTC